TAGTAAGGAAAATGGTTTCAAATAATTTGTCAAATCAAAAACATAAAAGAACAAAAAAAAACTTTAGTCATATGGACTGATACATGTTGTATCATCGCGTCTGCCTTGTCCACCAAACCAAAAATGAAATCCTTTAACATTACGCTTATAAGGTTCATCTGTATAATGATCTCCACCTGCGTAGTAACAAAGAAAATTTTCGATTTTCTTATAACTTGGTGGAGGCACGAACTCATCTAGGAGAACCTGGATGTTCTGCATATAACAAGCTCTACCCGTATTATAATTTTTGAAGGGTCGTCCGCTTCCCATAGGTGGAGTATCTTTAGAAGGAGGGCGACTGTAAATTTGACCTCCAAACAGGACCGTGGTTGCAGAATAGACCAGATTCTGAAAAAGTTCACCCCTCCAAAAACCAAGAATGTTATCGTCCACGGTCAAATACCAATTCCCAGCTTCATCCCCCTAGTATTCAAGAAATCAAACAAGATCAAATTATTAAACTAATGGAAAAATATCTTTTGTGCAACACTTTTATGTTACGTTTGATCCTGTGAAGTTAGTTAAAATTTTGACACAAATTAATCATGTCCCATTATGGTAGTAATTAATCATTTATGCAAGTATCAACAATTTAACTACTCCAATCCATTCTTATTAGGTTTAGACATGATTTTTGTTATTTCTTTTTACAAGGTGTTCCACCTTTTCAGGATAGCACGGAATAAACGTTTTTTATTACTTACGCTCCCAACTAATTAATTCACAAATTGTCTCGACCATTTTCATTAATACTCTTTCCGTTTCAAAAGATATGTATTTCTTGCAATTTCATCAATATCAAAGAGATATTAAATATTGTGTTTAGAATACATAATTATCCTTATTAATTATTCATGCAAAAATCTCATTTTAAGTACACTTTCATATTCCAATGCAAGGGCGATAACAAAAAAATAGTACAAATTTTACTTTATTTCTTAAAACGACATATATTTTAAGAAAATTCACAAATTCTAGAATGACATATATTTTTGAATGGAGAGAGCACAAAGTTTAAGTTAGAAATTTTATAAGAGATTTGAGGCAAAAGCTATGTTTATTACTACCTTCAGTCCTTTTTATAACAGGTCAATAACTAATTCAACACATACAGTACCAATAAAACTACAAAAATTTAGTTATTTGTCTCCAAGTTGCTACTATTTTCCCAAAGTATCCCCCATAACATTAATGGAATGGTTGAGTTAGTATTTGAATTGGTTAATTGTGGTTGTAAAGGAAGGAAAGAGGTTGGGCTTTATTGTTTTATAAGAAGTTGGGAACGACATTAAAATTCCATTGACACATCTCAAGTCCTGAAAAGTCTTCTTATTCAAATTTAATTGGAACTTCTAGAAAGCCTAAATAAGAAACAAAGAAGCAAATCCCATGCAGTGCATTAGAAGTCCTTCATGATCATCGTCAGGAATGAAGTAATTCGATTGGGGCAGAGGAGGGCGATTGTTTTGTGGACGGTGGTTGAAAGGTGAATGATTTGATGATGGGTAATTGTGTCTTTTTATTCTAAATTTGTTTTGGATACTAAAAATTATTTTGACAGAATCACCACTCTAAACTTTACTATTGAAAGAATTATCATTCCCAACGTAAAGGTGATATTAAATAAACGGATAAAAGATGTCTCAATATTCTTAAGACATCATAAATTCTGAAATTTTCATGTTTTCGTAAAAGAATTTATATTTCAAACTAGAATGAGTACACGTTAGATGTATGGAAGGCCAACCAGATGCGGCTTCCTATCCTTTCCATATTATAGTTTTTTTCACAAAAGATCCAAATTATTTCATTTTAGTAGCAATACTCAGGTCCTATTTTTTTTAAAGGATATTTAGAACGATACCTTATAAGAAATTGGGTATTCCCGATATTATTAATTTAATGAATATTATTATAAGACAATGCTTAAAACATACATAATAGAGAAAAAAAAATCCAATTGATTGATTGAAAACTAAATTTAAGAGGGTATATTATATATTGCCCCTAATTGAATGCACAGTAAAAACTTTCAAACTAATATTGCTTGGCCAAAAAAAAATTATTAATTAATAGATGCTTACATTTTAATTATTGTTAAATTAATAATTATTGTTTGTTCAATGAATTTAAAATTTAAAGAATCTTTATAATTGATTGATTTTTATGGGGAGACACTGAAAAAGGGAGATCAATCCAATTGGTAGGTTGGGAACAAGTGTGTAAGAAAAAGGATGAGGGGGGGATTAGGGATTAGGGATGAAAAAACTGGAATATGGCAACAGTGTTGAAACAGGTGTGGCACTTGGCCACTCAGAAAGATGCTTTATGGATACGGTGGGTGCACGGTGTGTATATTAAAAAAGCTTCTTTCTGGGATGCGCACCTAAAAACGACTCCAGTTGGCAACGGAAACAACTATTACAGATAAGAGATAGAGCAAAATCAGGTTTTGATGGGAACAGGTGGTTGGCAAGCTCAAGTGGCAGGTACCCTATCAAATCTGGGTATGAGTGGCTGAATGGAACAGGGGCCAGATCGAAAGAGTTCAAATGGATGTGGTCAAGAATGAATATACCTAATCATGCATTCATAGTCTGGTTAGCATGGAAACGGAGGCTATTAACACATGACAGGTTTCTGAGTATGCAGATGAACATTCCTGACCCTAACTGTTTGCTTTGTAAACAAGTCCCGGAGTCAGTGGATCACATTTTGTTTCAGTGCAAGTTTGCCAAGGACCCTCTGGATAGAGTTGTTAACTGGCTGGGGTGCAGAAGATTAACAAATGTGGACTGTAGATGGTGGGACAAAATACTGCGAATCTGGAAGGGCCAAAAGCTGAAAAGAAATATCTTGTGGGCAGTTGTAGCAGCGTGTGTTTATCATCTATGGGAGGAAAGAAACCGAAGGTTGTTTAGAAATGAAGAAAGGACATCTGAAGCACTACTGAAGGTGATCAGGAAGGAGGTGAAATGCAGAACTTTATCCTGCCAGAAGAAGAAAACTGGAAGAGAAATGATGATATTGCAGAATCTCTTTGAACTGTAATGGTTAGAGAGGTTTGCCCTTAAAGCATGGCTATATGCTCCTTATGCTTTTGTTTTTCATCTTTGTTTTGGTTAGGCAAAATGTGGATTGCTTTTGTTTTTTCTCCCCGTTTTGGTTAGCCAAAAAGTGGATTGAGTTGTGGTTGTAGCTCTGTAATTTTTGTGAATGTGTAGAGAAGCTGAGATAGAACTGTATTGGAACTCTCACTTTTGGTGAATTATATAGATATATATATATATATATATACATTTTCCACCAAAAAAAATGTATATTCAAAACTTAAATTATTTCATTTTAGTAGTAATACTCGGCTCCTAATTTTTTGAAAGGAAATTTAGAACGGTACCTGATAAGCAACTGAGCATTCAGAATTTTATTAATTTGATAAATATTACAAACAGATTATGCTTAAAACTTACCCAATAAAAAAAAAATTCCAATTGATTGATTGAAAACTAAATTTATGAGGTTATATTATACATTGCCCCTAATTGACTGCACACAAACTTTCAAATTAATATGGTTTGGCTATAAAGACTTTTATTAATTAATAGATGTTTTCATTTTATTGTTGAGTTAATAATAATTATTTGTTCAATAAATTTAAAATTTTCTAATTAGAAGAATCTTTTCTATTAGGAAACAAATTCCCAATTTTCTCAAATTTTGATACAACTCAACAGTTTTTCATGAAATGAGGGATATAACAGATGAAAACCATCTCAAATGTAAATTTCCAAAAGACAAGGTTGATCAGTCTCCAACTTTCAAATTGTTTTTAGATATTTCAGGTATGTTTAATCAATATTTATTTATGAATTTGAGTGGACCTAGATTTACACATCTCCATAACTTAATACTCTATAAAGTAATAACCTTTCTCAAATAATACCGGTATAGAATAGGGAAAAACTAAACTAATTACTAAGATAATAATTTTAAGAATCTCATATCTAAATATAGGTCCTTATGATTTAATAAATTAGTGAATACCTAAAATAAAAGTTTCAATTTATCATTAAGTTAAATTTTAACTTGATTTTTTATTTTTGATGTTGTAATTATCAACTTTTTGTGTCATTAGAAAAAAAGTATAAATAGTGTATATAGAGTTGCAATCGACTCTTCGTCTTATAAGAATAGTAATTACTGTAATTTCTTTTAAGACTAGGATCGAAAAATCTTGTCAAAAAGTTTCTATTGTATGTAAAAAGATTCTAGAACATTTATGATATTATTAATTTATGAATTTTGTTCTATTTTTATACTGGTCCTAAGTTGGGAACAAAAAAAAATATTATTTAATAGAACTTATGAATTTTTGTGCATTTGTTTTAGGTAGTTTTTAAAATTAAAAAAAGAGTAATGACTGAACAGTAAGTAGTTATGATTACTATAGGTTAGAAAGGTGGAGAGAATGAAGGCTGTTAGGAAAAAAAAATGTAATTACTGTTGCATTGAAAGTAAAGTACAACATATCAAAAAATAGAGTTAAGATACATGCCTGGAAAATTTAAAGAGAGGTATAACGATAAATGATTTGACTAAGTTTTAACTATTTCCTAACCCTTAATTGAATAAAAGGATAAAGATAAGTCTTAACTATGAACGTTTATGATTCTTACCTTTTCCTTGCAAATTTTCCATTCAAATTGATCATAAAAAATATATGTTGGATGAACCGTAACTTGAGATAATAAAAGAATTTCTACAATATGTAATTTGGTAAAAAATATCTCATGTTTTCTTCATCTTCTGGTCATCTCAATTTTTAAAATTTGTTTTCTTCATATAAAATTATTATGTAAAAATTGTATTAAACTATGTCCATATAGTGTGTATTTTAAGAAAAAGCGGCGAAATAATGATATATTACCAACACCACTTGCAAACTAATTTCTACTGCTTCAGTAGTAGAAAACAGTCTATAATGAAATTTGATATTTGTATACTTTAAAAATTCAATATGAATTTTTTTTTTAGGTAGAGGAAGAAATAAATTAAAAGGTATTAGTGGCACATACTCTTTGAATTGTTATTTTCACTTGATCACTCTCTCCAAATGTATCAGAAGTTCGAGGAAAAGCATAATTCAAGGGAATATCTTCATTGACTACTACAAATCCAGGATAGTCTGTATTATAGTAACCTCCTTTTTCGTTCTGTTCAAAGAAAGTCAAACAAAAGGAAAGCAAGAAGGAAAGAAATTTTAATTAAACTGCAATAAAATAATGTTAACTCTGATATTGAACTTCAGTAAATAGGAAATATTAACACAAAAGAAACATCGAAAAATAAATTTAATCGAAGCTAGGATAATCTGTGACAGAAAAACCGTGTTTTTATATTGTTTTCAAAAGAACATACCCGCCAAGCAGTATATAATCGAGTTTTAGTGTCCTGATAAAGATCTGGATGTACCTGATAGATTACAAATAATTTTAAACAATGGAAACATATAAGGAAATAATGAAAGTTAGGCCTAAAAGTGAACAAAAAGACATATAGAACGAGAACTACCCCCGCTTTGACACATGATTGTCTAGATTTTTTAATTTTTTTAATAATAAAAAAAACTAAGTTAGTCCAGAAGATATTAGGGTTAAAAAACGTACAATCCATCCAGCTTCTATCGCCTCTGTTCCGTTTTCAATAATTATTGATGCAGCACTATATTGGCCAGGACTAACTGGATTCGGATTCCATACTGTCATCTCAGCGTGTCCTCCCATTAGTTCTCCTTCATCTACTACAATTCCGACAAACTTGGAAGAGAAACAAACTCCTACTCAGAAAATGATTCCCGCAAAGCATTTTGGAGCTGTTCTTCTTTCAATTTATTTATATTTTTTTTCCAATTTAATAGTACAATACAGTAGTCACATGGACGCTTTGTCAAGGGAATTATTGTGAATGTGAAAATAAAACTGATGCGTGATAAAAATAACTTCAAAAGTTTTAGTTTTTCTATAGATTAGTGGTGCTAAAATAAACTTGATGCATGCTAAATGTTTCTGCTAAGTTTAGTGTCTCCAGCATGAAAAAACAGTGAGTTGTATATATGTTTCCATAGTGACTCCATATATTGATAGTTAGTTTTGAAATATGAGCCCAAAGTAAGTACCTTTATTCTTTGACATAGTATCAGAGAATTTTATACTTGTACTTTTACATTAACATGGGTCTTTGTTAGTCTGTGGTGATTTTATATTAACTCACTCCGAACATGGTTCGTGGGCGTGTTGTGACAGACCACATAGTGTAACCAAGGAATTGTAGGCCACATCGCACACGTGAAGAAACATTAATGTGTACATACAGGGACGGATTTAAAGGGGGGTCAGGGTGGTCGACCGACCCCCCGGCTAGCCAAATTTGGCCAAATTTTTTTTAGTATAGTGTCGGTTAGTTAAAAATTTTTCAGTACGACCCTCCGGTGACGGTTGAATAATCCTATTTTTGACCCCGCGATTCGAAAATTCTAGTTCCGTCACTGTGTACATAAGTTTCGAAACACATCACTAATTTCCAATTTGTTTCGATAAGAAACTTCTATACTTTGACAATTTATGTGCTTTGAAAGTTTTTGAACGTGTAAACCCGGAAGACTAAAATGAAGATATAAAAGGGGGAGAAACAAATATATAAGTAGCTGAATGGGGGTGTTACTTCTCCCTACATTTTGAAATATAAGTTTTTATTAGAGACAAAGTTTTCTAAAATATGTGATACTCTCAAAGATCTAGGTTCATTTTATAACTTTGTTTTCAATATTGAGGTTTCTGAACGAAATTATCTGCATATAGCTGTGTTTTAAAGAAAAGGAATATTATATTAGAATTAAATATTAGTAGTATTGCAATCACAGTTATATTGATAAGCTTACTTGAGTTCCACCATTGTAATCAGATGATGCCATTTGGCGAAGTGCCTTTGGTGGGAAAACAAATTTCTGAAGTTTCCCTGTCTTCTGGGGAATTGGTACTGTTCCGGCAGGGCAGCGTTGTCCTGCCCATATTTTATCCAAGTCAAAGCCTTTTGATTCGTTCTTAGACGAACCATTAGGAAGAACATCACCGACTGATTGATGTATGGTTCCATTCTTTCCCAATTTAATTTTCTGCACGTAAGTAATTTGGAGAAATGTCAAAGTTAAGTATCTGTCTTTCTTTCATTGCATTTTTATCTACTTTTTGAATGTCCCAATGGAATTTTTTCATGCATTTGATTTTGAAATCCGTGTAATTGAAAAGTAAAGTGTTGTCACTACAGACCCCTCCTTCTGGAAATGATTATTTTGTTAGTACTATATTAACATAAAAATCTTAACTTAGCTATAATTTTGGACCGGTAGAAGTGCATTAAATATACATACCTCAACTAAGGCCGGATTCTGAAGACCCGGCTGGCTTAATTTGTCTATACAATCATAAGTATCACCACTGGTAGTCTGCGACAAGCATCGACAACATTTAGCGTTCGGAGGTGAAAAATATTTAGTTATTGCAGAGGCATTTCGCTTTTTACTAATCTATAAATTTCAAGAGACGATTTTCTTTTCCTTCGTTACAGAACGAAAGAGAAGATTTTCTTTGGCAATTAAAAAAGATGACGACTTTTACAAAAAATAGAAAATAAAAATTCAAATAGAGAATGAAGATTAGCATGAAAAATCGTTAATAATTTATATTGAAAATTATTTAGGCATGAAGAAAGCTCCTCAAATATTATGTGAAAACGGAAATTAGCACCTTTACTGTCCGGATTGCTGAATGTGGGAAATACTCATCTTTGACGGCTGTTCCACCATTTACTTCACGAACACAAAATATTGAAAGAAAAATCCCAAACAATGTCACAAGAATCTTCATATTCATATTAAGTTTATTTTTCTCCCCAATGTTTTCACGTATATTTACGAATAACTAATATTGTTAATACTGTCCTCGAGAATTTATTTGGAGAAATGCGATGCCATCAGCCTCTCCTGTCACCTCGTGTTTACCTCCGTTGCTCTAGGGAATATGTGAATGTAGAAAAATGAAATCACAGTGGCCAGGATTAAAGTCGTATACAGTGTGTTCCCCAAGAAATCAGGCCTTTTCAAAGTAGTATAATTTTTTTTAATGTAATTTTGAGTGGTATTTTTAATCGTATAATGTGTTAGCTGTTAACTAATGCGGAAGATGCGGCCAGTATGAAATTCAGTCACTTGTCCCTCTTTTTTTTTTTCTTTTTTTTTTGAATACTGAAAGAAAAAGGTATTCTAGAACAGGAGGTTAATTATTGAGGGGCATTTGTTAATAAGTTGCTCAAGCCAAGCACCTTGAATTTCTTTGCTTTATATATCAAATGCTTGTTTTACAGAGTAATAACTATCTGTAGCGTGCAAGATCTAGGGCGTTCTGTAAGAAAAATTAAATAATAGCTAGATAATATGATGCCTCATATGATGACAGGACTATACAGTATGATATATCTAACAATATCTTTAAAGTTTGTCTACTTAAATAAACTTCTTCTTTCTGTTCTGTTTTTACTTTTCATTTACAGAAAAAATTCTATGTAAATTAGTAATATTGGGACCACTACAATTTATTAACTTAGAGTATTATTAAATACTGGATAAATTAATAAATTAATAATTTAAAGAGTTCTTTTAGGAAAAAAGAACCCTTACTAAAATGCATAATTTTTTATTATATTTACGATCTGGATCAAGCAAGTATTGAAATTTTTTTCGATACTAAAATTCATGCATAATTTCTATCTTCTTGAGAGACTAAAAAAAAGAGGTAATATTAATAGTTTATATTTCACTGAATACTTATTGTTTTTATTATTATTATTTTTTTTTATATTTAGGGTATTTACTAATTTATGGTATTGTCAAGATATATAGATATATAAAGAGTTTTGGTAAACATTATTATCTTATTGTTGTATTGATTTCTTAAACTTTGTGTACTTGGGCCAAGTTAGGATTGGAAAAAATTTATTAGTTGCTAGAAGTTAAAAATTTATATATTATTAATTTACCGACGTTCAACTGTAATTCCCTCTCTATTAATTTTTTTTGATACTTTTATAGGATTGCCTTTAATTGAACATTCCCCTAACAATCTTATGACTACGACAAAAATTCTTGTTACATCTATGGATCAACAAAAGGTCTTGGGCTTCAAAGTCATGGTAAATTATTGTTTTGGAGCAATCACTGAAATTCAAAAAAAATTCTCATTTTTAACAAACAAATATTTCTTTCAATCCACCTTCATTTTTTTCTCACCGTCATCAGTTGATTTTGAGCTTTGATAGCTCCAAAAACCCAAAAATAATGTATAAAATATGTTAAAATTTTGATATTTTTGTTTCTATGAAGTGATGTACGAAATGAACATTTTTTCTTCGTTAAAAAAATTTATAGTCATTATAAAAAGTTTATTTTCATTAAAAAAAACTCTGTTTTCCCCACTTCTATTTCATATTGTGAAGAAAAAAAATATCGAAGTCCTAGAATATTTCTAAACATTGTAAAAAAAATTTACATCCATAGTTCTAGTCAAACCGATCCGCATAGGTTACTATCTTGCTTCTCGGAAAATTTGGGACTCAAAGTATTGATCTTGAAACGTGCCCAAGTGTGTGGGGACAATCATAACTTGTTTTTGTGCTGCTGTACATGTTATGAAAGTTTGGGGGTGCATTAGTTATCTAATTTAGAAACTTTGGATATTTGTGGTCTGTTTCTTACTTTTCAACATTTTGAGGTCTATTATTTTAATCCCTCACCATTTGCGATGCCGACAATCATGTCTAAAAAATCCCTCAATATTGTAATGCGCGAGCCGGAAGTAATATTTAAGAATGTCCATCGGCTCTTTCATATTAAGATTCATAACAAGGATTACAAAGCCAAGGATTTTGTACGGTGGTTTTCATATTGTTTATGGAAAGTGGAGGTTCTTTCCTTAAAGATAATCCTGAGAAGACTAAGGAGTATGTAGGGATACTTCCTTATCTGTCCGCATGTATTGAAGCTGTTATTTGTGACCCTTTGTTTATTCAAGGGAGATGTCTGGACGCGCAGACTTATTTAGGGCATCACTGGATGAAGGGATCTGGACTGGCAGGCTTATTTAAGGCATGATCAACAAATCTGGAGAATAGCGTAAGAAAGTTGACCTAGCCGATAAGAAGTCTTTGCAGTCGGAGAGTTACATAATTTTGTGAATTATTGTGTTCAACGTCTCAGAGTTATTGAAATATTTGGATATCCTTGCTATGAACTTGATTTCAAACTTCTCAAGTACTTGTTTAAATTTGCAATTCCCTAGACAGGCTGATTCCCTAAACTTTCACCAATGTTTCAAATATGGAAATATTACCCATTAAAAAAATCTATGGGTAATACGTGAGTGATATAATTTTCCCACGAGTTTTCCACGGATTCATTTGCATGTGTAGTTATCCACAGCTATTCACGTGGGAAACCTCGTGGGAGTTTTGTTGGAGGGAAACTTTAACCCACGAGTTGCGTGCGGAAATGGTAGCCACAAAGCAACTTCGTGTGTAATACGTGGGTGATTTTATTTGTCCACGATTTTCCCACAGATTACTGTTCGCGTGTGATTTTCCAAAAGTTTTGTTGTGGGAAACTCGTGGGGAAATTAATGGCGGAAAACTCGTACCCACGGAATATTCACCACATTTTCTTTCGTTTGAAATCTTGTGGGAAATCCGTGGGACTCCATAGGAAACACTTTCGGTCAAACCTTTGTGGGAAATGCGTGAGTGTTTCGTGGGTAAATGCTATTTTTTTGTGGGTACTGGCCCGTTTTTTTGTAGTGTGACTTTAGTTCAGGACCTTAGAAAACTTGTATCGCAGAACTAAGGTCCCAACATCAGAAAGTCATCACCTCACTCAAGGAGAATTCAGTCACCTTCTCAGAATTTGAATAATGACTCCAGTCCCATTGTAGTTGATAACCCTGCAGAAAAAGACCATGTTCCTAAGAAACTAGCAGCTGAATAGCATAAGCAAGTTCCTGATAACCTTGCTGCAGAAAATTCGAGTATGGTTCCTGAGAACCTTGCAGCAGGAATGCTGAACCAGAATCCTGATAAAGCCGCTATAGCAAAGCCGATCGAAATTCCTGATGAGCAACTTTCAGCAGTAAAGCCGAAACAGGTTCCCGATAAAGATGTAGCACCAAAGCCGATCCAGGTCATTGATGAGCGACTTTCAGCTGCAAAGCCAAACAAGGTTCCTGATAATGTTGCAGCAGCTATGCCAAATCCAGGTCACTTATAAGCAACTTCCAGCAGAAAAGTCAAACGAGGTTCTTGAACTTGCACCAGCAGAAAAGTGGAAGAAGGTCTGTCTAAGCATAGGAGGTCAACACAAAATTCTCAAGTGAATGAGGACAACACAGTTCAAAAAGAAGCTCGTGTAGGAAGATCAGATATTGAAAGAAATTTAAGTCAGAATCAGTCTCTAGGAAATCAGGGTTCGACTAGCAATTCGATTCCAAGTACATGTAAATGATTTTACTGCAAATTTAAGTGGTAACCAGGGTCTGACAAGGAACAATTCAACAGGCACCTGAGGATAGCTTCTTCAGTTCAGGGTGAACATATTTGATCCTTTTCAAATCAGAACGGTACTGCAGATGACGGTATCATTCCTCCCAGCCTGAACAACACTCATGTCACTAATTCCACTACTTCCAACAGGAGGAACATTTCAGACTCTAGTTCACCTCTAATTTCAATCCCAGTTCAGGCCAGAGATGGAAACCATCATTCAACAGGAACTTCAGATGCTTGCACTATTCTAGAGAATCATGCTAAGCCAACAGACAGGAAACGCCAATCTAAAGCAAGAGAGATATGTGTAGTTGGAGATACGTAAGTGTTCACAAATTTGTTTTTTCAGGTCTTATCTCTAATGACAGATCTTGATTGCATTTCTTTGTAATTCTAATAGGTTAAACTTGCAAAGTGTATGCTCGCAAAAAATTAGAAGCAAGTATGAGGATAGGTTGGAACCCAGAGCATACACTTGGTCAAGAGTGAGCAAAGAAGTGAAAGGATTCTATTGGAATGAGTAGGTAAGCACTTTCTTCACTCCTTAGTAATTAGGGTATATGTTAGCAAATAGGTCTTTTTATTAATTTTCTTTTTATGTTCAGATCCTTTAAGTGGAGTACGAAGTTTGGTGCTGTTTTCTAGTATGAATACTGTTAGAGGAGATAGGTTCAGAGTTGTGTAAAATGTGTATAACAGGAGTCTGATGTACAAACCTAGTTTTGTGTAGAAACATTTTACATGGGAACCGGAAGTGGAAGAGGAGATAAAGGATGCCTGAAATTTTTCGGCGTCACACCGTTATCGTGACCTCACAAGGGACTTGAGACAATGGGATGGAAAAACCATATTTTGTTCAAGAGGATGTGTGGGTAAGCTTTCAAAATCATTAGAAGAGTGAGGCATATGAGATGGTACGAAGCAGGAATTCCCACAATCGTCGCAGCTGTAAAGGACCAGTTTCTCACACTTGAGGTTCATGCTCATTTATTGAGCATGCTGCATGACTTGTAAGTTTATTGAGCATGCTGATTAAGATATATCATAGTCCTCTTCCAACTATATAGACTTCATTTTTTTGGCTTTGTTATTCTGCTCATATTGATGTGCTTATATATATATATGTGTGTGTGTGTGTGTATGTGTGTGTGTGTGTGTGTGTGCGTGTGTGTGTGTGTATTTTTAAATCCCACTATTTCCATGCAATTGCCCTAGGTCAAGAGCCTACGCCGTATGAATTGTTTGCCTATAGTCATACAAAGAATCATGGCTTAAAGAATTCTTTTCTGGTATGAATTAAATGCTTCCAATCAGCTATGAGTATTGACTGTGGTTTTTTTGAGTGCATTGCATGTTAAAGGAGAAATATGTGGCTCTGCGAGACGAAGTTCATCAGGCTACTGCTGAGGAAGGGATTAACCGTCGACTCAATGAACTTGCACTTTATTAGAAGTCACTGCAGATGAGATGAAAAGAAAGGTATACGGTTTTGGCTCAAAATCAACTTCCCATTTCCCTTTGAAAATGGATAAGATGAACAGTTCCATGAATAAGTGGAGGACTACCATGGCGAATTTTTGCAGGCAAAATTGTTTACTAACGCCAGATTTTGAAGCTGATGATGATGAGTGTCTCCAAGGGTCAAAAGGTATGGCAAGTGATCCAAATTCAAATGATTCTAATTCCGAGGGAATTTCAATGGAGGCATGATGATTATAGTCTTGATTGATGCTTTCTAAATGTTATTTTTAGGTTGGTATGGTTGGTTCTATGAACTTTGCTTAGTATGGTTGGTTTATAATCAACCAAAGTAGTGACTTATATGAACTTGGTTTCGTTTCATTAATGTGTAAATTTCAGATCTATTGTAGGATCATGAAGTTTAATGCATTAATATGTTATTTATTTATAATTTTTAGATGTGAACTTTTAATAATTGTATTGGGCTATAGTACAAGGATATCAGGGAAAAAAAATAAATTGCAAATTTTAAAATATAATTTAAAAATTTTACCCTTGAAAAAACCGTGGGCAAAAATTTGAAAAGAAAAAAATTATATTTGTTCCCACTGAAAGAATCGTGGGAAAAAAAAATTATAAAATAAACTAATTAAATTTTACGCACGGAAAGAATCGTGGGCAAAAAAAATTATAAAATAAACTCATTAAATTTTCCCCACGATAAGGGGCGTGGGTAAAAGTATTTACATAAACCATTTATTCATGATTTCATTCACGATTTTACCCACAGATTACCCCCAAATATTCGTGGGTAAAAGTATTTGCTAAAACTATTTATTTATTATTTCTCCCACCGATTTACCCACGGAGAGTCGTGGGTAAAAATATTTGTTAAAATCATTCATTAATTATTTCTCCCATCGATTACCCACAGAAAGTGGTGGGTAATTCTCATTAATTACATTGTTTCAGAAACCATTCTCCCACGAAATACACATGAAAACTGTTGTGGGTGAATTATCCACGGAGCGTTGACCGATCGTCAGAGAATGATTACCCACGTGCGATTCTCCCACGCACTTATTTTCGTGGGTAAGTCGTGGGAGAATCAGGATCTATTTGGACAAGAGTTTTAAAAAGACTTTTAAAACTAAAAAATCTGTTTAGAGTTTAAAATACGTTTGAACAAAATAATTAAGGTCTTTTCTAAACATCATTTTAAAAAAAAGAAGGCTTGAAATAGACTTTTTAGAAAATAGGTAGGGGGTATTTTTCAAATTTTTGAAACAGACTTTTTCACCTCTGTTCGCGGATCTAAAATCGGGTCGAGGCGGGTTATGAAAAAATCGGGTCACGAATATAAAGAAAAAGACGTGCCCTTCTCACTTCTTCCATACCCTAGATCCGCCGCCCCTTTCTCACTCTTTGGCACCGGGGATCCAGCACCCACCCACCGTCCCTTCGGTTTTTTCTTTCATGGGCTGATCGATGCGGTTTTGGCCTCCGACTCACCTAATCCTCTGTTTCAGAAAACCAAAGTTGCTGTTGCTTAGAATATTCTAAAGAATACAGCTTCGTTCAAAACATCCTGGAAGATGCTGCGCTGGCAGCGGCTGAAATCGAGCCCGAGGAAGTGCATGAACGCAGATTTGTAGATTTTGATGGTGGGGTTTTGAAGAGGTGGCTTCGGAACAAACTAGCATTTATGAATTCAACTCAAATGTGAGAAGATTTACGAGGATGATTCCATTGCTTCTTGGGTTTGAGATGTTGTAATGCTTCGTGTGCAACGTATTTGTCTTAATGCCTCAATGAAAGATTCTGGTAAGGTCATTAACGCATTCATGGCTGCACTAGTTTAGTGAAGTTGTATTTCGTTAATTGCTCTGCTCGCAATGTTTCTTATATCGAGTTTCCAAGTCTGAAAACGTTGCTGCTTGATCATGTTGAGCTTTCTGACGGTGAATCCTTGGTATTGCTCTTTGATGGATGCTCAGTAATCGAAACCTTGGTGCTCAGTCATTGTGAAATCTATATGGACTACTTTTGTATAGGTATCTGTAATGCTACTATGGTTAAATTATCTTTTTTCTTTGTTTTAATCAGTAATTGGTCAGTAACTTGGTGGTTTAGTAGTTATCAAGTAGTGTGTTAGTGTGTCAGTTAATAGAGTCATGGAGTTAGTGGGAGTTAATCTTTCCTACTTTCTAGTTATTGATTAGTCTATAAATGTATAGCTTCAATCCTATTAACGTAAGCAAAAAAACTTCAAGAAATTTATGTTTTTTTAAGTCTCTCCTCCATCTCTTTAACTCTGGAGTTCAATCTCCGCTCGAATAGGGATGTTACAGTATCCCTTGGCTGAAGAATTTATATATCAGGTGTTGTTTCATTGATAATGATACGACAGTGGACATCGATTCGCATGATCTAGAATCCTTGTACTATGTTGGCATGCTTGTTGAAGATTTCAAATTCGCCAATTTCGATCACATTCTTGGTTTAGCAATACATGTTGTACCCATGAACAAACTTTGGCAAAGGGATGATGAAGAATTAGACAATTCCCGGTATGATTTTGTGAAGCTCGCAGAGCTAATCAATCCATTCTCAGGAGTTGAGAATTTAGATTTAGGACGGTTTTCTATGGAGGTAAGCTTCCTTAGGACATATTAGCATTTTCTCTTTGCAAGTAGTTACAGGCTTCTCTATGTTTGTCCTTGTTTTCAAATTGTATTTTTTCGATTTGCTTACAGGCTCTTCATCATCAATCACTTCCGCTACCTAAGTTCTGTAACTTAAAGAGTTTGCATCAGAGACAAGAGACAAATAGTTAGAATATTATCCTGGCAGCCTGCTTCGTTCTGCTTCTAAGAATACTGCTCACAACGTGCTCCTTTGGACTCGCCGTGGTAGCCCCCTTCGAGCCCTCCTCGTCGTTTCCGTAAGAATTACCACTGATTTTGATTTTCTGTTTATCTTTGTTTTGGGTTTTCTGACCCTTTTGATTCTTGTCATAGTATCATTTTGATGGTGTGATTTTTTGGTCCCCCCTCCCAGTTGTTTTCCTGCTGTTTTTGTCCTGCTTATTATAAAGGTTCCCTTTTGTTTGCATGAATCTAATTCTTGTTCTGGATTTTAATTGGTGTCCGGAGGTCTGTCGATAGTTGAATTTAGCATCTTATGGAAATTTTGGATCTATATTTGGAAGTTTTTAGCCAAAATGATTATATTTGGCAAAGATCAGATTTTGTTTATGATTGTGCTTGGGAAAATTAATATGCTCAACTGTAAGATCTTAAAGGCTATCAGCTGCTTAATTTGAAGAATTAATATATACCTTCGTGATGCTGCGGATTTTATTCTGAGTGAGAGTATGTTTGAGTTAATCTCACTTTTTTTCGCTCTCTCTAATATCCAAACATTTGAACTGTGACTTGACATATGTATTTTAACTATAGTGAGATACCGGAGCAGTTCCATTTATAGCTTGGTTGCAGTTCCGATAGTTGGACTATATATTTTTGGGTTTGATTCTCTTTTTTGGGACTGGGACTTCGTTGGATCAAACCCATTGTTTGATTGTGTTATGTTATCTCATTAGGAAGTCTCCTCATGTGTTTTTTCTCTTCCTGCAATCAGTCCCTTTGGAATGCTTATGTTAATTTTTAAAACAATTTGTTCTTCGAATATGGTCAAAAAATTTTGAGCTAACTACTAAAGTTTGAACATAAACAAATTCCTAAATTTGGATCTTTTACAGCATTGCATCTTTTATTTATATATTGGATATGCATATTAGGTGTTTAATTCAAGGCTCTGCACGGCTTTTTTATTGCTAAAGATGCTAGAAAAACCAAGTAGTTGACAATATATGGGATTAAATTCTTCATTAATACTTTTAAATAATTCACTGGCCTGTGTAGTGATGTTCTTTGATTGAACAACACTAATTCACCGCCAATAAGGTAAGCCTTTGGTTAATAATTTGGGGTCCCCAGTTTCATGCACCTGAGTAATAAAAAATATATGATTGCAGAGACCCTAAACTTCATGATGGTGAAGCAACGGCCCTTGAAGTAGAGCTACTAAGATCCTTGAACTTTTGCTCTTCCTGTGTTGTTACACGTGCTGTGTATCTTCCTCTTCATGTAGAATTTTGTGTTAGATGGTAGATTGAAGGTTGGAGCTGTCATAATGCTTCAATTTGGCTTGATTGATTGAGCTTCTTTTAGGTTATTAGTTATTACCATGTACCAGTTTCTAGCCACCATGTAATTATTCGCTTGTCGTGAATTTGGATAATTCCATTGTCGTGAATTTGCTTGAAAGACTTTATCTATTGTTGGTTACAAATTTTCTGAAAATTTGTCGTCTCCGTTGTGCCTGTTAGAGCGGTATGCTGTAGGGCTTTTTTTATGGTTATGATTCTAAGCAAGTTTTCTTGTCCGTGGAGTTCATTTTCGAAGTTATTGTTCTATCCGCTTTTACCCTTGTATAATGTTGCTTGTTTTGATTAGGAATTTTTAAATTATGCATAATTTGTATACTGTAATTTGGCTTATTTGAATCAGAAATGTCAAAAGTTTAATTTAGCTAATTTGGCTGCTGGGAAAATTTGTTGTGACTTCAAATTTATTACTTGCTTCTGCTAGCCTTAGGTTACCTTGCCATGCTTCTACCCGTAAATAATGATGTTGTCTTAATTGGGAATTTCCATAATGTAGGAGAAGTTAGTATTAGCTAATTTGGCGGCTGGGGAATTCCGTGGCTACTTCGAACTAATCATGTGCTTCAGCTTCAACATGCATGAATCGGAATCTCATTTACTTTGTCCGCTGACATATGTATTATCTGCATTTGCCTAATGATTTGCAGTAACAATGGCTATTCCTCTACTTACCAAGAAGATTGTGAAGAAGCGTGTCAAGAAGTTCAAGAGGCCCCAAAGTGACAGGAAGATTTCAGTGAAGGTACTTTGCAGCTCTTTAACTAGTTTGTTCAAGGAACCATCACTTATTGGTGCTTAGAGCTTTTTTGTGTTATCTATTGTATTTATATCATTGTGTAATTTTTTGTTACTAGAGGAAAATGTAAGTCTTGTGTTAGGATGATCCAACTTACTTTTTAGGCCATCTGAAGTGTGATTACATATTTTCAGCCATCACATTCTTAGCTGACCTTTGTTTCATTAAAAGCTTTCCGATTCGCTTAGCAAGGAATTTTTAATCACTGTGTGACCCACCAAAGTATAGCAAAAGAGATGAGTTCATTTAGATTAGCTGGGGTGATAAGTATTGTCTCTTTGACAAGGAGCTTCAAAACGCTTGTTGCTTCTGACTTTTATACTTCCTTCTATGGTTACCTTCGATAAAACTCTTCTCTGGTTATCCTAGTTTACTACAGCTCTGACGGCTTGTTAAAAAGATTAGTAGTTAGCTCAAAAGTGTTCTTCAAATATGGTCACTAGGTTACCTTTGCTCTAAAAATTAAGAACTGAAAATTTTAAAGGATTCTGACAATTTATTTAAGAGTCTAATTTTGATTACAAAATCTACACTCGAATCATTCTACTGCATCTTTCTCAAGTGGTGTAATTCTCCAAACTTTGGCTTTTGCAAAATCTGTATTTCTTATCTATGCGTTTCTTCATTAGTGCTAAACAATGTGTTTTCTTATGTTTTAATTTGCAGTGTGTAAAAATGTGTGAAGTAGTAGAAGAATTATAGTACCAGTAATCCTCCCTCCCCCCAAAAAAAAAAAGAAGCAGCTTTCACCTTGTTGAAGAGAAGACAGAAAGGGCAAAAGGGGAGGTGGTGGTCAAGGATTTTGTTTAAACAAAAAGTGAGGAGCCTAAAGGAGGTGAGGAAACAGTCAAGTATCAACAACTGGGGAAAAAAAAGTGGTAGATCATCATAATCTTGGTGGAACTCTCTGGTTTGCCCAAGGAGGACATGCATTAGAATTATTTTAATGTTATGCTTTAATTTAGTCAAAATGATTTTAAAATTATACTCTAATTTTGATTTATGTTGGAAGATAAATTATAGAAAAGAAAATTTTGGAACAAGACAATTGCGAATAATAATAAAAAAATTTAGGAAAGAAAAGTGAAAAAATGAAAATGACAATTTGTGTAAGAATGATTTTCTTTTTTTTTAAAAAAAAAAGTTCACAAATTATTTTGAAGAAAAAGTAATTTTGAAAAAGACCTAGTCCAAATGACTTTTTAATATTTTTAATTACTAAAAGATTTTTGAAAAATTCTTGTCCAAATGCATTATTTTCCAAAAGGTACTGTTTCAAGTTTTGGTTGAAATAGACTTTTCTAAATAAATTTTCAAAACACTTGTCCAAATGGAACCTCAATTTACCCACAACCACCTAGGCATTTTAGCCACGAAACTACCCTTGCTTCAAGAGCAGGTCTAACATAAAGTGAGTACTTGGCTCTCACCATATCTAGAGGCTTGTTATGGCTAACTCACTAATAAACTTCCGATTTTGCACCACGAACTTATCACTCCAGGCTTGCATAGGGTGATTTACCTCCCACTGTGGTTTGCAGGCTATTGCAGTGGGCGTGGGTTTAGCCATTTCTGGTGTGGTTCCGGCGTTACAAAAAAAAGAGATTATTTACGGTTATTGAATCTAGTAATGATCCAAACACTACAAGAAAAATAGCCCTTTAGTTACATAAACGCAAAAATATTTTTATAATATACAACAAAGGGTACAATACAATATTGATTAACGAAAGAAAAACCGAGAAGTTTTCTTTTTTAAAAAAAAAATCGAGAAGTTAATGCAAGACAATCTTACTCAATTTTTTTTTTAAGGTAAAAACATACTTTAAAGGAGAGAATACAACTATAGAAAAATCACAACTGCTCACAAATCTACCTTATTAGAAAGGATTGATATAGTGATATACCATTGAGAATTGGAGAATTACAAATTGGTCCAGGGAACTCAAAGTTATGGCCCTTTTGTGGCGTCAAGATGGAGATGGATATCAAGCCCAGACACTTTAGCACGAAGAATATGATTAGCTTTATCTCCAACGGCAGAGAGGTCGGAATCAATGGCTATAGCAGTAGCATTTGCTAAAAACTTGCGATGATGATGAGTTGCTTGGGCTTCCTGAATAATGCTGGAAAATGCCAAAGCCAAAATTAGAAATATAGCAAAGAAAATTTTAGAAGTACTCATCTTGAATATATTTGATTGATCGGAAGCTTTGGAAAGGAGGGAAAGTTGGTTTTCTCTGTGCTTGAGTTTGAGTATTCCAGGTTCATAATTGGAGAAGTTAACATATCCCTTTTACATTAGTACGATGATTGTCAGTTCAGAGTCGTGCAAGGTTGATCAGTCTCAATTATACTTTGTTTAAGAAAAAAGACAGTTGGATACAGTGTTTCCTCTAATATAATATATACCACAATTTTTCCATGTTAACTCAGAATGAATCGGTAATCATGAGTTGTCAAGATTACATATTTTTTTAGTTGATATTCTTGTCCTATCCGCGAAGTTGATACTCCATCCGACAAAAAAGTTCCACAATCTGTACTATTAATTTTATTATAAATATTGAAATTTAGTGTGGTCTTTTGTATGACAGTGAAAATACTAACAGATTGGAGTCGCGAGTGCAAGATGGGTCCAATATGTTAATTTCAATGAACAAAATAACACACTTCTCCAATGGTATTATTGGCATCACAACTCCACGCAACAATAATAAACAGTTGTTGTGGTGCCTCTAACTATTTCAATCCCAAATTACCCTATTAGCAATACAGCCTTACATCAGTTGTTTGGAATGACTTTATGTGCCACTTGAGCCATAGAAAAACTGTATTTTAGCTAAATCAATTTTAGGTACTACTTACACAAAATAAGGAGGCAATTTCATTGGAATATCCACGCATCTTTCACACACTAAGTGCTAAGATATTTACGATCCAACATATGGATTACTGATCAGAAGTGTGGCCAAAGCTGTGAACCGGATGTTGGGGGAGGGAGCCATCTCATTTGGGACAAGGAAATTTGCTACTTTACCTCACATTTGACTAATTAAGCACAAGGTGAAAATTTTGAGTGATCTTTTTGTGTTCAGCGTTGATCTTCAAATGATGCTTTCCTTTCATTTTTTCGAAAATGTGCAAATATCTTCATAGAATTAAAAGAAAAAAAGAAACTGGAGAATGTAAAATACGGATGAGAAAGTTATCTTGAACAAAAAATAAAAATGAAATACAATAAAATCTTAACATGAAAATGTCCAAATGGAAGGAGTAAATGAATAATAAGAATGGAAAACATGAATAAAGGAAATATCTTGAAAACAAAAATAACAATTAAATGACCTTTAGAAACAAAATCTTACAGACACGACTCCATTAATGAACAGATTGCATTGGATTTTATGGGGTGTCTGATAAAGATTTCCGAAATCCCAAGCCTTAATTACCATTTCTTCCTGTATAAAGCATAAACGCTTTACTTTTTCTTCTCCCCTAATCCCACAGGCCACAGCAAGAAATTCTATCACAATTTTTTGTTCATAGACACAAAACAAAAACAACCAAAGAAACCATGGCTGAAGCACCAAATGAGGTTTCTTCTGGTTATAACTCCACTAGGTTTGCCGAGAACAACAAGAAAGCTCTTGAATTCATCAAAGAAGTGACGAAAAAAGCCGACAAGGTTCAGAAAGGAGTGCTTGTAGAGATCTTGTCTCAAAATGCTAATGTTGAGTACTTATTGAGGCATGGCCTTAATGGTCACACTGATAGAGAAACTTTCAAGAAAATCATTCCTGTGATCACTTATGAGGACATTCTGCCTGATATCGCTCGTATAGCTAATGGTGATAAATCCCAAATTCTTTGCTGCCAGCCCATTTCTGAGTTCCTAACAAGGTTTGGCTTTGTTCCCTTTTTTTTTTTTATAAAAAATTTATTCTTTTTTTTTATTGATAAATCCCAAATTAATCCTGTATTAAACTTCACTCTTTCATTTGTTTATCATTCTTTTCGGTCATTTTAACCAAGGGTTTATCATGTCATTTTTCTTTCTAGGTTATTTATGTTTTCAGATGTGTGCTTTTTTTTAGTTAAAGCAACAAAAATTTTGTTATTGAATTGTTTTGTAATTGACATTTATAAAAAGCTCTAGCACCTCCGCGGGAGAGCGGAAATTGATACCTACAATGGCGGAAGAGTTGGAGAGTATTGGATTCTTCATCATCAAAAAAGCAGCAGCAGGATCGACTTCACAAGAAGCAGCAGCATCGACTTCCCACACATGGCCTCAGGATTCTGCAGTTGATCAAGTAGCACCCAAAGTTAGCCGTGTCTCAGGAGCACATATCAATCCATCTAGAAGGTGTGGCAAGCCATGTCAGCAGTCCGCAGATTTCAAAGTTCCTTGAATCCTGGACGTTGGTTGAGTTGGTTTATTAAGTCGGTTGTATAGATCAATGGATGAGATTAGAAGTGTTTTCTTTCTTTCTGTAAATAATTAGGTGTTCATTTTAGAAGCAAAGTATATATACATGTAAAAGAATCCATAAGGGAGTTAGTGAAAAATACAGAAAATGATGTTCTTTGCAGAAATCTTGTTTTCCAAGAATTCCTTCTCCTCATTCAATACGTCATCTCATAGGATTGATTCTTGTAGAATCTTTATGGTATCAGAGCAGGTGTAAATCTGCTCTGCTCTGCCTTCCGCTTTATTTTTTTTCTTCGATTGGATTGTTAGTTTTTTTTTTCTCCTTCTTCTTCGATTAGCTCAAGAACCCTAGCTGATCAGATTTGAAACTTGAAGTTTTCTTTAATACTTAGAAATTGAATCGAAGAGTCACTGATATCTTGATGGAAATGGATAACAGAAGAGAGATTGATTCTTTAATTGAAGAGCAGCTACATGTGCATGGATCGGAGAGTCCTGGAACTCAAATTGTCTCGGTGTTACTGACAAGCAAGAATTATCTGATCTGGAGATGTGCTATGATTTCAGCATTGGAAGCAAAGATGAAAGTAAGCTTTGTGGATGGAAGCTTTCCGATGCTAGCAGAAGGTTCACCAATCCTGTTGAAATCGAGGAGAGCAAATAGCATGGTATGTTCTTGGCTTAAGAGTTCAATAGCATCAGACTTGATGAATCAGTTTATGTTTGTACATGATGCAAGGAAATTATGGAAGAGTCTAGAACAACAATTTGGTAAGACTAATTTGCCTCACCTATTTGAATTAAAAACAGAAATTGCTCTGCTTAGGCAAGGAAACTTAACTGTCAGTGTTTACTTTGGAAAGATTGAACAAATCTGGAATCAATATGAAGAACTGAGGCCAACTCCTGAGATAGAAGGACAGATTGGGGATTTGATTGTGAAAAGGGAAAACGAGGATAAGGTAATGGAGTTTATGATGGGGCTTAGTGATGTTTATGAACCGGAAAGGAGTCAAATATTGTTCATGGATCCTATTCCTCCTGTTGTTAAGGTATATCATATGATTACAACTGCTGAGAAACATAGGCAAGTGAGCATTCACATAACTGCAACCTCAGATAATGCTGCGATGATGATGCAAGGGCCGGAAAGTTCAGCAATGCTAGCAAGATCTTCTGGTTGGAAAAAGGAAGTGACATGAAGGAATCAGAATTATTCGGGATATCAGAAAGTTGACAAAAGTCATTTGAAATGTACTCACTGTTTGAGACCAGGGCATTTAGTTGAAGGCTGCTTTAAGATCAAAGGATATCCAGACTGGTGGCCTACTTCAAAGGGAAGGAAACCGGGTTTCAATACAGCAAACATGGTTGAATACCCACAGGCAACTGCATCATCAATGAATCAAGGGATCAATAACCATGTCCAATTGGAAATGCTAGAGGAATGATACCTTATGGGCAGCAAGGTCAAACACAGACTTATAATCATGGTAATGTGAGCATTACACCATTGGATTTTGGCATTGAAGGGACAGATTCATATCAGTAGATGTTCAACAGTGCAGTACAGAAGGAAGTTGAACGTATTAATAAAGGAAAGGGAATTATCAACACTGGAGCAAGACACTCAGTGAACATGGCACACTACCATGATTTTGTAGGTAGTTCTTCTTATGCTTTAGCTTCCTAGATTGCATCTGCTATTAGTAGAAATGCATGGGTAACAGACACAGGAGCTACAGGTCATATGTGTACTGACATTTCATTAATGCATAACATCAAAAACCTTTAATTCATATACACCAGTTTGTTTACCAGATGGTAGTATCCAACCAGTTACTCATTTTGGAGATGTTACAATCTCTGAATCTGTCACTTTGACATCATGTTAACATCTGCCTAGTTTCAAATACAATTTGCTTTTAGTCAGAAAATTGACAAAAACATCAAACATGTTCTTTAAATTCTTTGCTGATATCTGTCTTCTGCAGGACCTTAAAACTGGCAAGGTCTTTGTAGCTGGAAGAATCATCAAAGAGCTCTATGTTATGGATTCGTTTTCATTTACAACTGAAGCTATTTCAAAATCTCAAGAGATCTATGCAGCATATATGTTACATCTTAGCATTTCTGTTAGTCACAAAACTTTTGATCAGACTTGTAATTCAGTTTCATCTGTTGTTCCTTTAAGAATGATACATTCCAGATTAGGTCATTCTTCATCTGATGTAATACAGCATTTGAATGGTTGTAATGTTTCTTTTGATAAGACATTAAAGGATTACCAATGTGAGATATGTCCCCTTTCTAAGCAAACCAGATTGCCCTTTCCTGTCAGTACTTCTACAAGTTCTTACTGTTTTGAGCTTGTTCATATGGATGTTTGAGGACCATTTCATCAAGCAACCAACACCAATTGTCATTATTTTCTAACCATAGTGGATGATCATTCCAGATGTACTTGGACATTTCTTTTTCAACATAAAAGCTAAGTACCAGCCTTGATTGAAAGTTTTTATCATATGATTTGTACACAATTCCAAACCGTTATCAAGATCATCAGGACTGATAATGGAACCGAGTTTTTAAATCAAACCTGTTCAGTATTTTTTGGCCAAAAGGGCATTTTTCATCAAAGAAGTTGTCCCTACTCCCCACAGTAAAATGGAATTGTGGAAAGAAAACACAGGGATTTACTGGATGTTGCAAGATCTCTATTGCTACAATCCAAATTACCTAAGAGATTTTGGGGGGATTCAATCCTTACTGCCACATATTTGATAAACAGATGGCCCTCCAAATTACTGAATTGGAAAAGTCCTTTTGAGAGATTGTATAACAAACAGCCTGATCTTTCTACACTTATAAATTTTGGTTGCCTGTGTTTTGCAGTGAATAATGGACCAGGCAGAGATAAATTTGATCCCAGAACTTTTAAAGGGATTTTTGTTGGATATCTCCCGGGGCAAAAGGGTTACAAGGTCTATTGTCCTAGCTTCAACAAAACCATTGTTTGCAGGGATGTGGTATTTCATGAAACCACGTTTCCTTCTATTTCAAAAATTAGTGATGCTATTCCTCTGCCTGTTGTGAGTATTCCTTGTGAAGATTCATTATCTCCTGAATCTGAAAATTCACATTATGTTCCTCCAGATTCTTCATCTCATATAGATTCCCATTCACCTACAATGGATCACTTCATTCCTTCTCCTCCTCCTTTAAGAAGAAGTACCAGAAATATTAAAACACCTGCCTGGATGGATGATTTTTATACCTTTCATTGTGCATCAAAATCATCTATCTTTTCTCCTCCTGACAGCACTTGCATTTGTAGTCATGCATATAATGATTTTGTAGCAAATTTGTCTGTTATACATGAACCTACACACTATAATCAGGCCAGAACAAACATGAAGTGGGTAGAAGCAATGAACTTGGAACTGAAAGCTCTTGAAGATAATGGTACTTGGGAATTAACAGCTTTGCCAGCAGGAAAGAAAGCAGTGGGTTCTAAATGGGTGTATAAGGGAAAGTGTAATCCAGATGGTTCTGTTGAGCGTTACAAACCTAGACTAGTAGCTAAGGGTTATACACAAGTAGAAGGAGAAGACTTTACTGAGATTTTCTCCCCAGTAGCTAAGGTAGTTACTGTCAGGATCTTGTTTGCACTTGCACCTATCAGAAACTGGTCAGTGTTTCAACTAAATGTTAACAATGCATTTTTGCATGGAATTCTTGATGAAGAGGTATATATGCATCCACCACTTAGTTATGATAAGGCCAAGAAGGGTCAAGTCTGTTTGTTGAAGAAATCATTATATGGACTGAAATAGGCCAGCAGACAATGGAATAAGAAATTTACTTCTAAGCTTCATGATTATGGATTTACTCAGTCATATCATGATCGTTTGTTTACTTTACATCATCCTCAGTACCAGTTGTTTCTTCTTGTATATGTGGATGATGTCTTGATTACAGGCACCTTTGATACTGAAATACAAAAGGTGAAGCATTTTCTTGATGATGCATTCAGTATTAAAGATCTTGGAATGACCCGATATTTCTTGGGAATGGAGATAGCACGCTCTACATCTGGAATATATCTGAGCCAAAAGAAGTATGTTACTGACCTACTTCAAGATACAGGAATGCTTGACTGTGTTGCTACTGCTACACCTTTTCCAAGGGAGTTGAAGTTTGTTTCAGAAGATAAAGATGAAACTCCTTTGTACCACAATCCAGATAAGTACAGGAGATTAGTTGGTCGTTTGTTGTATCTGAATTACACAAGACCAGACATCACTTATTCAGTCCAACAACTTAGTAGGTTTGTTCATAAACCTCATGATTCACATTGGAGTGCAGCAATTCATCTTCTCAAGTATTTGTCAGGCTGTTCTTCAAGAGGTTTATTTTATTCCAGTCACACTTGTCTCTCACGGCCTATAGTGATGCAGATTGGGGAGCTTGTCGTACTTCAAGGCATTCCATTACAGGATATTGCATCTTTCTGGGTAGCAGCCTTATATCAGCAATCCACCATCTCTTGTTCATCAGCAGAGGCCGAATACAGGGCGATGGCTTCTACAGTTCGGGAACTTCAGTGGATTACTTATATGCTCCATGATTTCCAGGTTCCTCTGAAACTTCCCATTCCTTTTCTGTGTGATAGTCAGGCAGCAATAGATATTACAGCAAACCCTGTGTTTCATGAACGGACTAAGCACATCAGATCGATTGTCATGTAGTAAGAGACAAGTTCAAGGATGGTTTTTTATTGCCACATCATGTTAATTCCTGCCAAGAATTAGCTAATGTTTTTACCAAGTCTCTTCCTGCTCCTGCTTTCAATTACATTCTGTGCAAGTTGAGCTTATCGGATGCTCCACTTGAGGAGGGGGTATTGGATTCTTCATCAACAAAAGCAGCACCAGCATCGACTTCATAAGAAGTAGCAGCATCGACTTCCCACACATGGCCTCAGGATTCTGCAGTTGATCAAGTAGCACCCGAAGTCAGCCGTGTCTCAGAAGCACATATCAATCCATCTAGAAGGTGTGGCAAGCCATGTCAACAATCTGCAGACTTCAAAGTTCCTTGAATCCTGGACGTTGGTTGAGTTGGTTTATTAAGTCGGTTGTATAGATCAATGGATGAGATTAGAAGTGTTTTCTTTCTTTCTGTAAATAATTAGGTGCTCATTTTAGAAGCAAAGCATATATACATGTAAAAGAATCCATAAGGGAGTTAGTGAAAAATACATAAATGATATTCTTTGCAGAAATCTTGTTTTCCAAGATTCCTTCTCCTCATTCAATACTTCATCTCATAGGATTGATTCTTGTAGAATCTTTAGAGAGGAGGAAATTTCTGTGTACCCTTATGATGCCTGTGATGAGCCAATATGTTTCTGATTTAGACAAAGGCAAAGGAATGTATTTCTTGTTTATTAAATCTGAGGCTAAGACACCAGGTGGACTTGTAGCAAGTACAGTTTCAACAAGCTACAGCAAAAAGAGTGCATCATTAAAGAACAAGCCTTCTGATCCTTACGCAAATCACACAAGTCCAATTCAGACCATTCTCTGCCCGGAGACATTCCAAAGCATGTACTACCAACTGCTTTGTGGCTTGTGTCTAAACAAAGATGTCATACGTGTTGGTGCTGTTTGCGCCTCGGGTTTCATTCGTGCTATCCAGTTTCTTGAAATGCGCTGGCAACTTTTGTGCAATGATATCCGAACAGGTACTCTAAACCCACAAATTATAGATTCTTCTGTGAGGGATGCTGTGATGAGAATCCTAAAACCTGACCCGCAACTTGCTGAATTTATCGAATCGCAATGTGGGAAGAAAGAGTCTTCTAGGCAAGGAATCATTACTAGGTTATGGCCGAATACCAAGTATATTGATGTCATTGTGACTGGGACAATGTCACAATATATTCCAACTCTGGATTACTATAGCAATGGCTTACCTCTTGTTTGCTCAATCTATGCTTCTTCTGAGTGTTTCTTTGGCATTAATTTAAACCCTCTTTCCAAACCAAGTGAGGTTTCTTACACTCTCATTCCTACCCTTGGCTACTTAGAGTTCATCCCTGTGGACAGGAACACTGATGTCAAAAACAGTATTACTAACGCGCCCGAATCTCTTGATGATAAGGAGCAACATGAATTGGTTGATCTGGTTGATGTCAAATTGGGACAAGATTATGAGCTTGTTGTCACAACTTATGCTGGTAATAACCTCGATAATGTCATAACTGAATGGTTGATTAAATATTCCAATCAATTGCATTCGGTTTCCATACTATGTGGTTATCATTTTAGCCTTCAAATCTTTAACCATTTTATTCATTACGTGTTCTTTAACCCAATTTTGCTTATTTATTGTTTCTTGAAGGTCTATACCCCCCAAAACAACAATTCCCAATGTGGAAGTTGGGAAAAAAAAATGCAGAAAACCTATCTAATCAACAAAATTCTGTAGTGTCTAACCTTCGTGGATATGCTGAAGTTCTTCCTGGTATTCTCCTTCTGTGTACTCTAGATGCTCGAATTGAGCTCGCCTGTCAGCTGAAAATTTTTTTTAAAAAACCATCAATTAAGATCAACATAAAAATCCATATTTTGCCTTCAAAGAAAGTAAACTATTGGAACAGGAGTCTGAAGAAGTACCAATCCAGGATTGACTTGAATTTTGTCAAAGCACTCAGCAACTCGCAGTGCAACGACAGGAGCAAAATGGATATCATCCACAAGAGGGAAAATGTAGCTGCAAAATGTAGTGATCAGCATTAGTGTAATTCAATAAATAATTGTTAAAACAGAATCATACATGTCAACATAGAAGTGAGTTATACTTTTCTGCACAAATGTGTTTTTGATGTCATAACATGCATCTGCCTCTTTCTAATGGAAAGGAATCTAACTGCTAAAGTCATGTACCTTCCAAAATACAGCTCTTTCATAATGTGCACAGAGTAGTCCAACCTACATTCACCATACAACTCATAAGTATGAATTTGATTCCAAGATGCCCAATATGAGAAGAAATCTCTAAGAATCACAAATATGATAAGAAAACATTTTTCCTACTATGAGTGGGTAGCTTCCGCACCAAAAAATTATGGATTGAAAGAAAGGAAATTAAACTAACATAAATTGCATTAAGAGTTGCAGGATTTAACTTTGGACCACCACAAATTTAATAGCTCTGATGCATGCTCAAGCCCCTAACAGAATACAGAGATACCATTATCCCTAACAATGTGCTTGTGACATATAACGTGAGGGAATTGCCCCCAAACTGCGCAACTATTTTCAAGTTTATGTGGGAAATGTCGAATTTCTGGATGGCATTGAAGGAGACCACAGCTGTTGCATCATTTACAACTCCTTCACAAAAAACCACTCTGTATAGGAAAAGTGTCTCTTCCTGATTGAGCACCTATGACAGACCGAGAGAAGGAGAACATGGTTAGATCATAATCTTTAATCCTCCTTATTAACAACGCAAAAGTATTATCCTATAATACCTGTAAAGTGCAAACTGAGAAACAAGGATATTATCCTATAATCTTCATCCTCTGAAATCCAAAACATGTATGGACAGTGAAAAAGAAAAAAAGAAGGAAAGTAAGGGCAGCATTAGAGAAAAAAGGTTATTTTCAACTGCAATTGAAAGACACAATAGAAATGAGAAAGATTAATTTATAAATAGCACACTGATTGTACAAACGAACAAGAGAGTAAACCAAGATAGTTGCCAATAAGCCATTTTTTTGCTCGAAGCCATTACGAACAGAGCCATTGGCTCGAACATATCCATGTATTCCTCTTGTCACCAGAAAATATTGCACATCTCGAGTAAATGAGTAGATTTACCTGAATATTATATAATCCAGATAATAAGATAAACTTTTAGTTCCATTTTTACTCCATTACAATAACTATGAGCAGCAAATCTTCCCATTTTTAACAAATCCAATATTAAGTCCAACCACCCAAATCCTAAATGCTATCCAAGTTCCAAGTCAAGTAAGCCAAATTAAAGAAATAGTGTCAACAAGTGAAAAAAGAACAAATATGAGTGGGGTGAAAATGAGTTGTGGGCCAAGCCTTTTGGTGAATAGGGAAAAAGAGAAACCATTGAATTTTAGGCCAGACCCAATTTCCCTCCCCTTTTTGGAAATTTTCCCTCCCCCACCCAATTTTTATTATTCTCCCACATTTTTTATTATGAAATGGAAAAACAATAGTTATTCATTATATATTTAAGTTTATTGGAAATTAATTTTTATGGTTTTGATAACTCCATTGTTATTTCAATTAAGTTATTGTACTTTTTTTAACATTAAACTAATCATTAAAAGAGTATTCAAATTTTCTTAACTATTGTTATGATTTATATGCTTTATGCAATATGATAATTTCATTTCTTACTTGACTACTTAAAACAAATTTAAATTTACCATGTTGTAATCATGTTACTCCCTCCGAAATATGATAATTTCATTTCTTAACTATATGTTTTTTTTATAAACTCATAATATTGCACTTGAAACTTACGATGCATCTTTTGTTATTTAAAACATAAATTTAGTTCCATTAACAAAATAATAATTTAATTACTTATTACTTGACCACTTATTTTTTTAATAAAATAAAATTACTAAGTTATAATTATTTCATAATCATTAGCTTTTTTTTCTAAAACTAAATGTTTTAATGTTAATATAAAGTAGGTGTGTATTTATGATTTACCGATCGATTATGATATTATATAGTGGTGTCTTTTACTTTTCTCCCTAATAAACTTTTAAACCAAGTATAAATAATTATATCACGATTTCTAGATGTATGTAAAATCACATCATAATTTCAAATATAGTATTGTTTTAATGATTCATTGTTGTAAGACTGCTTTTGCGTATATGTATTAATTACTAATTCAAAACTCATAAGAGTAACTCTGTGCCTAATAAATTAGAAGTTTACATACATTCATTATTGTCTAATATTTATAGATCTGAAATACACTATAAAGATTATTAATCAACTTTAATCTAATTAGTTGAAAAAAATGTTACTTTATACAAAATGTCACTATTAGGGTGTCATACTATAATTATTATAAGTTTTTAAAGGACTAGTTTAAAAATCAACGCTTTTTTGGGGGCAATTTCCAAATTTTAGGGTGTTATAATATAATTATAAGCATCTATGTAAAAACACAAATAGATCCTCCATTTTTGTGAAATATGACATTTGAGTCTCTTATGCCTAAATATGGAGAACTAATGTATTTTATGAGAAAGTATAAATCAAAAGAAAATGTTACAAGAGATAAAATATTTTTAACTAAATACTAATTATTTTTATTCTTAACAAATCATCATAATTTACTTTCACCAACGGAAACTGTTATTATTCATCCTCATTTTACTTTGTCAATTTCTTATTCACGATTTAATTTCAAAACGTGTAGTAATAATTTTTTTTTCTAGGTGATTCAATGGTTTCTTAAACATTATTTTCGAAATTAATTACGCATAAATTACACTATGGTTAAATACATGTCTAAATTAAACATTACCAACAACTTAAATCACGCAACCGTTACCCGCGGCATTGGGCGTGGTTAGTTTCTAACATTAGCCACGACTTTAACCACATAAACGTTACCCACGGCATTGAGTGTGGCTAATTTCTAACATTAGCCACGACTTTAACCACATAAACGTTACCCACATTATTGAGCGTGGCTAATTCCTAATATTAGCCACGACTTTAACCACAACAACGTTAACTACGGCATTAGACATGGTTAATTCATGGTTAAAAATTACTTTAACTACTATTTAGCAATACAGACAAAAGGTCGTATCTAATCCGTGGCAAATATAAATGACGGAAAGAGAATTAGCCACGTTCATGTAAAGTCATGTCTACTCCGTGGCAAATATAATCAGGAGAAGAGAATTAGTTATGTTTATATTTGGACGTGGTTAAATTATGGTTAATTCGTAGTTAATGTCGTGGCTAACTGAATTTTGGAAGAATTGAGTTTTGGTCAAAGTTTCGTGGCTAAATCGTGAGTATTTCGTGGCAAATTAACCACAACTTTTACCACAGACATCCACTTGCGTGGTTAATCACAAGTTTTTTTGTAGTGTGTATAACATATACATAAAACCAGAGGATGGAGTTGATCATTACCTTCAACTGCCTTATGGAGTTGATCGATGCTTCAATCCACTCCACAGAGTCGATCAATACCTCAACTCATCCTTGTCGTTTCTTCTGGAAGTTAAGGTTTTAAGGATTTTTTTTTTCTTTTCAGAACAAAAAAGTTATATTAACAAGAAAAAAATGAAACTGTTAGAATATTAAAATACAAAAAAGAAAATATCTTGGTACCTTCTTCATAATAGGCCTAATTCTTAAAAGTTTCCTAAAATCAATGATCATAATTCCTAAATTCTTTTGTCGAAAAAAAAAATCTCGAATTTATTTTGGTTTATTTCTTTTCCCAAAGGTGCGTTCCGAAAGACATAAACTTCCTCCGTAACATTTGCTTTAACTATTAAGGTCACTTAATAAAGTTTACTTATTGTTTTACAATACATGTTATGAATATTTTTTCCCCATATATGTTAGGATAAATCCAAAAAGTGTATTATTTTTTTGCCTCAAAAGTATTCATCAATTTGTGTGATCCTATCCAAAAGCTATGTTGAACATCTTTAGGATATGACGAAATTATGATTTTGAAGATAGAATTGTTGGTTTTTCTATAATCAATCAATAATCTATAAAATTGTATGTTTCCTCTATTGTAAAGGAAATTTGTCTCAAGAGACTATTTTTAAATCTGAAATCACATCCTCTTAGAATCATTCAAATTGCACATCATTCTTGTCAAATATTGTAAGATGATTATTAATAGCAAGAAATTTGTTATTTTGCTACTTCGTGAAGACAAGTTAAATATTCACACGACCTTGACCTATCAACCTCCTCGAAATTTTGAATAATGATTTCACCACAAAAATCAAACATTTTATGGCTCACTTTGTAAGCAATAATTTTCATCTCCTTTTTGTATTTCACGGTAATTACTCAAGTCGTGATTTCCCGGATTATTGGAGTTTTTGATAGATTTCTATGCCTGCTTATATGGAAAACCAATATAGTATATATTTAGTTGATCATGGAATTGGATATTGACCCTTACACAGATTCACAACGTCGCTATGATCGTATAACTAAAATTATACAGTACAATAACGACAGAAAGGTTTATAGATACAACGATTTCCACCTATCCAGACATCTTGTGCATAAAAAAGTAGCCAGCAATATAGAGAGAAACAAGTTTCTAATCCAAACACTAATCTAATCCATACGAAATAGTTGTGAAAAATATGAAGAGCTATTTAAAATCCACCAAAATCTGCACTTTAATCCTCATTCATTTAACGTTAATCTCCTCGAGGCATACAGCTACTGTTGCGTGCGAGCAATTGCACAGCTTCAAATAACTATACACTCTGTCAAATCCAAATGTGCGTCCACTTTTTTATCCTGAAGTAATTAAATTTGAGTCGAAATCCTTTCTTCCTATGCTTTTTATGTCAAAAACCAGCCCTTGAAGCTATGCTACGCCGCCTTATATATAGGAATCCATGGTTCTCACAATGTATCCAAGGTGGTTTCAGAAACTGCAAAGCAGAAAGGGCTAACTCGTATGGATGTTGGAGCTCTGGAAGATTGCAAACAAATGGCAAAAGAGTCGC